AGCAATAGAAGCACTTTGCGAGCCTCCTTTTAGAAGGGGAAAGGAGAGGACGCCAATCCCAGATTCGGCAGAATCAAAAGGTGAGGCAAACAAAAAAGCTAGTAAAAACATAAAAATTCCTTTTTTTTACAATGGGGGAACAAATAAAGGAAATGGACGTTAAGGTGCGAGGTGGATAAAGCGCTGATTTTATAAAAAAATTCTATTAAAACCTAGAGTTATGAAATTTTTCATAGATGCTAAAGGTATATTCAACTACCAATTCTGAAAATTTCAGAATTTTTGGTAATATACCACTAATTTTATGGTCAATGAAGGCAATAGTTCTCTATAGAATGACGAATTAAGGGGAGTTTTCTGATTATAAAATCAGAAATACAAAACCAGAAATTCTGAAATTTTTATGAGAGATAGTCAACATCGTGAGGCATATCTGTGCAAAATTTCAAAATTTAAAATTTTTGGCTTTATGCCAATTTTCAAGTTTGCGCCAAACTTTCCCCGCGCCAAAACAACCCCTGACAAGAAGAAGCTTTTAGAAAAATGTAAAAATATTTTCCGCTTCATTTTCTGCGCCACACGCATTTCACGCATTCTACCTTGACTTTAATTTAATATGATGGCGTAAATATAGTCAGGCTCTTTACTAGGGGGTATTGAAGCGATTAATACGTTGAAAATATTCTCACTATACAACAAAATCTAACGGAAATTTTTGCGCATGTTTAAAGTCACAGATATTACACATTCCCATTAAATATGTGTAAAAATAAATATATTAAATGTAAATAGTTGTTATAAACCTCTTATTTTTTATTTTAAACGAAAAAATATTCGATCGAATTTTTCTTTTTGAAATGGGATCACCCTTTAAGAAGATAATTTACAGGGGTACTTTCCTGTTATGACGCAACACATTTAAATTTTTTTGAAAAAGCTAAAAATGCTCAACAAGTTAAGAGTTAGGCATGTTAAGAGTTAGGCATGAACAAACAGTTAAGACAGTTAAGAGTTAGCAAAACACTACGGTAGACTGGTCTCAATATATGCGGGAAATTAGTACTTATTATCTGCTTCAAAAAGAACCATAAAATTTTTTCCCATTTTTGCTTCAAAAAAAGAACAAATTCCGCCAAACACCCACTGAGGTGGGAAAACACGTGGGAAAAAGGAGGAAAAAATTTCATGCTTATTATTACTATTTTTGAACATTTTTAGCTTTTTTAAAAAAATTTAAATGTGTTGCGTCATAACAGGAAAGTACCTTTACAGGTACTGGTAATACATATGTATGTATTTCCTTATATCCGGCACTTATTCTCGGAACTTTATTTCCTTGAATTTAAGTTTGATTTGTGTAAGCCAGAAGGGCTAAATATTGGAAGTCCAATGAGAAATTCTGGCCTCTTAGTTGGACGTCTCTAAATAGTGTTTTTCTTATATCAGTTATTTTTAGGGTTGTTGGCGACCGGTTTTAAAACCGGAATTTTTGAAATTTTTTGCCAAAAATTAACCGTTTTTAGAAAATTTTAAATCCCGAAAACCGGAAATTTGTGAAAATGACTGATTTTATTTAAAATTCCCTCAAAATTAAACCGGTATTTGCCTAAAACTCAAAACCGAAAACTGGGTTTTTAAGATTTATATTAACCGAAAACCGGGGGTACCGGTTAATAACCGGTCGCCAACAACCCTAGTTATTTTCTATCCTAATGCGCGACTCCACTTGATCCTGGAACACATTGTTAGAGTTTCACATGCACTTTTGTTGCTCTTTAAAATTAATCTTAGTTTCCACCCAATTTTATTTAAATCCGTCTTAAACTTTTTTGATTTATTCATTCATTCCTCTTAGCTTCTTGATCTTTTGTAGAACAATCCCTCCTCCTCACCCCACATTCTCCCTTTCCCTATTGATTAATCCCCTCCATTTGGCCCTTTTTAGAAGAAGCCTAAGAACAAATTTACACACTTTTATTTAAAAATATATTTACATTTTTTCTTCTTCTACTCATCATCTCCTTCTCTTTTTTGCCCTTTTTTAATGCTTAAACCAAGTAAATGTTGTTAGCATAAAGGGAGATGACCTTCCTTCCCTTCACATTTTTCTTCCTTCCAACCGTTCCTTCCCTTCAAAATACCTTTAAAAATCTATATCTTCTACCTATTTTTTCGTTCCTTTTCAACAAAAACCCCTCTTCAATCCCCCTTCCAATTTTAAGACAAAAAATAATTAATCAAAAAATTCAACCAACGCCACAATTCAAAAAACTGTCAAAAAGAACTGTCAGTTTGAGAAAGCGCAAACCGCAGCATTCCTTTTTAGAATAACAACAAATCTATTTTATTAAAAAAGAAATTGTTTAAAATTAACGACTAATAAATATATTTTGAATTAATTTTTGGGTAAAAGAATTTTTTATTAAAAATTATAAAAAATTTTTGAAAATTTTTTCTAATCCGGGAATTTGATTATTAAATTTTTTTGAATGGGCTATACAATTTTTGATTCCCGTAAACCTCCCTCCATTTGCTCTGTTTGGCACATACCTCTATTTACATATATGCCATCCCGACTTGAGATTTCGCCTAAATTTCAAAGGCATAACGGTTTAAATTACTGGACTTGAGTACCGGTTAAGGATCGTTCTTCCGAAAATCTCAATCACTATAACGGACGGGATTATTGGACGAAATCTCCTCGCTTCGGTTTATTCCTACATACCAGCATTTCCCAACGTATAGAGTATCTCAGACTACAAGAGCTACTGATAATAAAATTTGATTTCCAAGTTTAGGTTATTTCTTATCCAAAACCTTTAATAATCCTTTTTTTGAAAGGGTTACTGAAAATTCTTTTTTTTATATCAAGCCTACATATAATTGTGTTTTGTCCTTTTAATTTATTTAAAAATTTTCTAGTTGTGTATCGTTATTGTTGCGCTGTGTTTTAGTGTTTTGAAAAACAAAAATTTAAATATTTTTCAAAAATGCGTCGCCGTTTTCTTCTCGGAGGAGGGGAAGGCGGCAAAAAATCTGTTCCAAAAAAGGACAACAATGACCCTCTTCAACAACCAAAAATAGCTTCATCAAATTCTTCTTCTCAATCTTCTGCATCTGCCACTACTGGATCCTCTTTCCCTTTTCTTGGTATTTTAAATAGACGAAGCTTTGCTGCCGCTGATGGGCCAAAAAAGAAAAATGCCGCTTCTTCTAATTATTATTCAGCATTTAAAGACGAAAATGACAAGTATGCGACAATTGGGGGAGGTTCAAAACAGCAAAAGAAGAAAGATGAAGAAGAAAGAAATGGCCTTCGAACCTCTTCCGCTCATTCTTCTTCTACTTCTTCCCCTCCACCCCCACAACCTCCTCCACCCCCTCTTCCAAGGCGCTCCCCTTTATTGCAGCGTGGTGGACGAACAACTACTAGACCTCGTTCAATGGGAGCGCCTTTACTACAACAGATGGGCATGAAATTTTCTAGTAATATTACGGAAAGAAATAATAATAATAATGAAGAGGCGGAGACGGCATTCATGAATGTTGAAGAAGATTTTCCCGGTTGGTTTTTATTTTTATGTTTTTGGGTAAAGAGAGATTCGCGCATGTTTGTAGGGAAAATATAAATAAATGTGTATGTTTTCGTTTAAACTTTTAAATGTTTTTTTAGTTGTTGTCCAAGTTTTGTTTGTTGACTATTTATTTTCAACTTGTTTTGTCTTTTGTTTACTAAAAAGTTTTTAGGGTTATTTTAAGGTAACTTATTAAATCGAAACTTTATTGATAAACAATATATTAAGTAATTTTGTCAATTCCGTCTGTAAGGGAAAAGTTATTAGGAACTCGAAACCAGGCTAGACAATGTCTTCATGAGCCTAAAATACAAGGGAATTATTTACCAAAATTTAAAATTATTATAGGTATTCAAACTCAGTTTCTTTCTTCCTTCTTTTCTGTTGGGTAAATTCTAATTTTTAGTAACCAACTCCCTTGTATCTTTGGCTTGCTGAAGCCTTCAAACAACCTAACGTTAACACTAAGGTATCGGGTTTTGGGAAAATTTTCGGATATCTGGAACCAAACGAAGAATCGGACCGAAAAAACGGCAACCCTAGCTTTCATTAAACTACCCTATTTTCTTTTATTTTTGTTTCAAAAAATTCTCTTTTCCCTATTTTTCATTAAAAAGGCATAAATAATTTTTAATAGAAAAATTTAATAAATTACTTTCTCTTTTAACAAAAACATCTATAAATTTTCCAATCGTTTTTCCAATGTTCTTCGTTCTTTCATTAATTTGTGTTAAACCACACAATTGGAAAAAAAAACAATTTTTTTAGTTTAAAGTGGGGCGATTCTTTTCGAGAAAAATTAATTTATTTATGAGAGAATTAAACTAAAATTGATTTGATTTACAAAAATTAAAGTGAAAGCTATTCTTTTTATTTAAAAAAAGAGAAAATATTTGTGTTAATTTAATTATAGCTTAAATGTTAATTTAATTAGGAAGGAAAACTAGAAAATTAATTTATGTCAGGAATTTAGTTATATTTAAGGGGTAGAGTGATGTCTCGGCGCGGGATTGTAAAATTGCTAAAGTAAGACTTGGAAGGATGAAATTTTGCGGGGATATCGTTAATAGGGTTAATTACATTTCGAGAAAATTTCAGAATTTTTGTGGCAATATTTCCTAGGTTATGGTCAAAAATGCCTGAATTTTGGAGCAATGTGCGTGATTTTTGATCATAACAGAGAAAATACCCCTCCAAAAAATCTGAGATTTTAGGAGAGATAAATTAAGACTATCGAGGATATCTCTACAAAATTTTACACCTCTAGCTGTTCATTTGGCTAATTTATAGGGAAACGAATTTAAACGATTTTCTACACTATTCCACACATTTTTAACTTTTCCTGAGAGGATTTGAATTAAAAATTTTTGAAAATTCCAAAATTTAACTTCCATAAATTTTTTAGTAGGTTCAGCTCGTCTAATAATGAATGGCCGTTGTTGCCAAACACAACAACCCCACGGAATTGAAAAAAGCAACAAAGTAAATTACACTAATCGTAATTCTACAGGCTCTACAAATAGCAGCCAAACAAGTTCTGGATTTGAAAGTTCTAAAGTTGGTACTTTTTTGGAATTTAATTATGAGGAGGGGAGCTGTTGTTCTTATTTAATGAGAGATTTTTATCCGCAATTTTTATTAAAAATTTTTGTTGACAAAATTCCTGCGACAAATTTATACCATTTCACCAATACAGTATACGATAACTTTAAAGGAGTTCCCTTCTCTTTATAGTATTTCTAATAATATATATTATATAGAGCCCCTTCTAAACCTCTTTAAATCTCAATACTTCTTAGAGTGCCAGTTCTCACCAATTAGCCCAGCCTTGCCATTCCACTCCTGTCCACCACCAACTTCAACAACAAAACGAATCTCCTCAAGCCTTTCAAATATCACCAAATGAAGATAACTCAATCTCTTCCCCGTCCTCACGTCTTTCCTCTACTGGATCATCTACAGCTACTACACAAGGAGGACGTTCTTCCGCTTATTTTTCTCTTTCTGATGGACTTGATTTGTCTTCAACTGGGATAGGGGATGTTGAAAGCGGTACTTTAACTACAATATTGAAGAAAGGTGAAAGGTCTTCCAAAACAGAAAGGGCAAAAAGAGGAAACTGTTCACGTGTAAATATTGGAGAAATGTTGGCAAAAGGAATTCCTGTGAGTTATTTGGAGGGAAGGGTCTTTAAGAAGAGACTTTTACATTTTATAGGAACAAGAAATCTTTGCTGAATGGCTCCAACGTTTATGTCTTTCTGAATATTTGGCACTCTTCTTGTCCCAAGGATATGATCTGCCCACTTTAGCTAGGGCAACACCTGAGGATCTGACGACTTTGGGAATTACAAAACCAGATGATCGCAAATGTTTGGTTCAGGATATTCAATGTTGGCAGAATGTTGCGGTACGAGAATTCAGTTATAGTTATCCGGGGCTTAAAAGATTTTATCTGACAACGAGGGTATTTGAAATTGGGGGCTAACCAAATGTTACAAACATTTCGGATTAAGTGTCCGACTCATTGACAAGACTTATCAACTTTACCTTTATCTTAAGGATACATGGCCAACTGACATAACCAAAGAAGCGCCCACTCGTGACTGGCTAACTGCCATAGGTCTCAAACAATATATCCAACAATTTGAACGTCAGGGGTGTTTGACAGTTGGAGAATTGGAACAATTAGAGACTGAAGACTTGGAAGATATGGGTGTACAGAAGTTGGGGCATGCAAAACGGATATGGCTGGCTCTTAGAAAATTGAGGGTGGGAAATATTTTAATTCAAAAGATGCGTTTTTTTTTGGCGTTTTGTTTTATGGGACCTTTTATCCCTGATTTTAAGCCAAAGTATAATTTAAATTAGGGTTTAAATTTCGGGATGAGGAGGCAAAAACGGGTAATCGAGAAGTCGATGGAAAACGAGAGAGAGATAAAGGGGGCGTGGGTTATTTCGGGTAAAACAGGAAGGGACTTCTCGTACTCGATTACTCGCGTATAAACAATGATGGGTAACAACCCTATAATAAATTTACTTCTTTAGGAATCAAGATCTTTCAAGTCCAAACCTATTCAAAATGTGTCATCAGTTCAACCTTTACCTTCACATAATATCCTGCCTAGTACAACCTTGTGGCCTTGTTCTTCAAGCGCGGCTGCAATCACGTCTTCTGCCACATTGCGAAGACCACAAAGGAATCCCTCAATGACTAGCAATCCAACAAGCGGGACAGAACTGCCAAAACTTCGAGAAATTGTAATTTGTGGATCTTTCCCAGTAAAATGAAGTTTTTTTAAATTCAGGATCAGAGAGAAAGAGAATCGACTGGACATGTCCAATTCAGAAATAGCTCTTTTGGAGTTGATCCAGTGCCAGATAGAGGACCTCCTAGACTAAACCTATACAGGCAGACATTTTTAAGATTTTCTGACTAAAAATTTTATTTTAAAGGACCAGTCAAATAATCGCTCAATTGCCTAGAGAACCACCAGAACTGATCGAAAAAGAGGAGGATGTGGAAGAACTTAACTACCTTATGGGGCATATTCCGCCTCCTCCAGGTATAGTAGAGATGGTTCTGAAACTGATTGAAAGAAAGACTTTGAAACTAATTTGGGACTCTCAACATCTATTTAGTCTGCTTTGGAAAATTCGTTGAATGGGAGATTAATAGGAGAGGGGTTTGGAGAGGATCCCCTTCTTGCAAATGAGAGGATTTTTGAAAAATTTTTTTAGAAAGGACAAATTATAACACGTAACAGAAACAGTTGAATCCAATACATGCATAAATACATCTTCTGGACACATTTTTGCCTTTGAAACAAAAATAGTTCGTCCTTAAGTCATTCCCATAAGTCACACGCTTTTCACATTTTCAACATGTTCAGAATTAAAAATTTTTTTGCGATCAAAAAATTCTCAAAAATCCAACAAAAATTTAATTATTTTTCAGCCCCAATGCCTCTCTTAGCCTTCCCAACAACTTCTTCAACAAACCCAACTCGTCAAGTAACATTTGGATGTTCTCTTTCACAGCCTACAACACCTAGAAATGTTCAAAGAATGTTTGGCCCATTTGACGATATTCAACAACAACAAAATTTTGAACAAAAACAACAACAACAACCTCCCCTCCAAAATTTAACTTTTCTCCATTCTCCCCCAAATAATCGTCGAAATGAAAGTAAAACAATTTTGTTTTCCTCACAACTCCCTCAAAGAAATGGCTATGTTGTTCAAAGTAGTGATTTAACTGAATTATACGGAAATAATTTAAATGGAAGAACAGCAGCTAGTGCTAGATAATTTTTTAAAAAAATTTCAAAAAATTTGTTTATATTTACAAGAATCTATATATTTTTTGACATTCCTTTTTTTTATAATTTTTCTTTTCCCGGTCTTTATTTAATCGGCTAAATTATGAGAATGGACATTTAAACAGGGGAACATAATTGAGGATAGATTGAGACGAACATATCGGGATATTTCAATGTACGAAAAGTTACGCTACTGATATCGGGACCTACGGCTACTGGATTATGGATAGTAATTGTCCTATTGAAGAAAAAAAAGTTTTATGTTTTAGAACCAGCGTTAACACACGCAAGATTATTTTTCTCACGTCAATTCCAATATGTTCGCCCACCATCTATACAAACTCGTATTAAAAATTTCTTATTCATTAAATGAGATTCTCTGTCCAATCACTACTTCAACTAAGAAGAACAACATGTTGCGGTTCCAATCTTGAAGATTTTAAGACATAGCCAACGCTTGGAAGTTCGTACCAGACTGAGCATCATTTATGATGTCGTTCTTATGTCGTCCAATTTTTTATTAATAAGGAGTTACTTTAGTTATATTTTGAGTATTTTTAAAGAAGTAAGATTTGAATTTCAATAAAATAGCTTTAATTTTGCCGAATTCCTTTTTGTATGCCGCTTTGTAGTCAGAACTTAAATTTTACGAAGAGATTAATTAACAATAGCAAGTAATTAGCATGTCTCATACTATACTATTTTTTAAATGAGCAGGTCGGGAAAATATAATGGGATTTCTGATATTTTAGTGATATTTTTATAATTTAAGCAAGTTTTCATAAGGAAGGACTTTTGTCAACTCAAAGTGAATATCTAAAGATAAGGCTCGATTTTATCAATAAAAGTTTCTAGAACAGGCCATATATACCAATATCAATTGCCAAGTTTCTTCGAATGGGATTAACACCAGAATCGAATCAACACCAAAGCATTTTAAGTTTACTTGCCAAGTGTAAAGTGGCTAACAAAGGAGAGTGCTTGAGGTGTCCGTGGGACTTCGGGATGAAATTTGGTAGACGGGTAGGTCATACCCTACTTTAGTTCAGAAATTCTCACCATTTTCGCTGCGGGGTACAGGGACCGAGTTATAAGCCAGTTTTAAGATCCCCCTCAGGCACCCTCCTTTGTAAGCGACTAAGTGTATGAGTGTAGGTATACACCAGAGATGTCAGGTTTTAAAAAAGTCGTGTCGGGTTTCAAATTTTTCTTCGAAAGGGTTCGAGTCTCCAAAAAATCAGGATTTCGGGTATCGGTAACCCTTGACATCCATGTTGCAAATCTTATTTAGCTGTACCCCGAAATTTGTATGACATCCTACCTGTACGAAGTCTCACACTAAAGCCATTTTTCTGTATAAGTGTCCTAAACATGCATGGACACGGAGATGGATACAAATAATATCAAGGCGCCTGCGGATATCCGTCTGTACCCGCCGTATATATCCGGATACGGATACAGATCTAGTCATACAAGTGAGTTAAATGTATTTTTCACCGTGCCTCTCTTCAGAAAATAATCTGGCGCTAAAATGATAGTGTCATACATGCGCACATAACAATGTACATACATAATTATTTTAAATAATTGCATCCTTCCGAAAATTTAAATTCATTTTAGTATCATTATTTGTATGATTTCTTGGTATAACATTTTGTGAAATTTTTAAAAATTTAACATAAAAATAATATAAAATAAATCCTATAATAAGTCTAAAAATATTTTTAAAACAATTAAACTAAGATTAACGTCAAAAAATTTTAATTCTCAATTTCCACCGATTACTTCGTTTTTTAAACAGCAAAAGTTGCCATATTGTCAAGGGAATTATTATACATATTATAGTGAAATATTTACGTTTATGAAGTCAAAAAATCGTTTAACAATTAATTCAGATTATAAAAGTTAGAGGTATTTAATTACTTAAAATGTGAGATATATAAAGTCGGAGCTTGTCCTTAAATACCTCCATTAATAAATAAATACTTATGATACTTTATGATTATAGAGTCGTTTTTAAAATTTTATTTGGACCAAGGAGGAGTTGCCTAAGCGATAATCTTAATGAAAGATACCCACGGTTTTAAATAAAAATTTTTCAATCCCGGGGATATTTTAAACGAAGTTCGACTGTTAAAGCAAGAGAGAGAGAGTAACCACTTGGGCAACTCTCCCAATTGCCCAACAAAATTTCAAAAATCGTATACCGACGGACTTTTTATAATTTTTTCAAAATTCCTAGCCCTAATTTTAACAAAATTAAATAGATAAAATAATGGAAGTTTATTTCTTTAAACCGGATGAATATGAACGTCTATATAACTGTAGTTCTTATAATGTTGACCAAATACCTTTGGAAAAACGTCGACATGAATGGCTTGGAATATTTTTCTTTTCTCTTTCAATAATTTATGAGGTAGTTTTTATTAGAGTAAGTCGAGTACCGAGTAATTGGGAAAAAACCGAGCTCGAGTAATCCGAGTTTGAAAAACCCGAGTTCGAGCTCGAGCTCAACTTTTTAGGCCGAGTTCGAGTTCGAGTAGTCGAGTAATCGAGTAATTTTTAAAAACAGTATTCTAAAATAATTTTACCAAAAACAATACTTTTACTCATTATCAGTGCTGGGTATTGGGCATTTGTTGACAGTAATGCGTTAGATCATCATCCAAATCCCAGTTATTTTCGTTTATCCGTCTATATCCCTCTTAATCCGCCTAAATTCCATGATATGCACACGATCCATGATGACTCCAGGCTCCGGGTTGAAAATCAATGGATATTATTTTGGGGATTTGTGTAGATTAAGGGGATATCGAGTGATAAGAGGAATGAGATGGATTTCAAGGGATTAAGCGAGAGATGGATATTAAGGGGTTAAGCGGGATTTGGGCCGATTATAGGGAGATTCGGGTGTATTGGGAGCAAAATCTTGGAAATTTGGAAGAGGTTGCCGTTGCTCTAATCCGTTGCTTTATCCCTCTCTTTTCGCGCCGCTGGCTTAAATTTTGAGAATTTCTGAAGGCCAAGTGGGCACACCCAATTTTCAGAAGGCCAGATCCCTCGCTATTCTTTTAGATCCCTTGAAATATCCGGATATCACTAAAATTCACCTAACCTGATTCAATCCTCCGATATACATAAATCTTCATTTTTCAGCGCTGCAGGCGAAAATTTCGAAATTTTGGAAGGCCAGAGAGTAAAATTTCTTCTTTTTTTAGCGCCGCAGGCGAAAATTTAAGAAATTTGGAAGACCAACCACTATATTTCTTCCTTTTTCAGCGCCGCAGGCGAAAATTTTGAGAATTTTGGAAGATCCTTGAGCTAGAAATCTTCCTTTTTGCGCCACAGATAGGGTCTTAAAATTACTCGGTTTTAACCGAGTCGGTCGAGTAGGAAGTTTCCGAGCTCGAGTAATCCGAGTATTATAATCCCGAGTTCCGAGTCGAGTAATTACGCAAAAAACCCGAGCGGTCGAGTCGAGTAACTCGGGCTCGCTCGAACTCGACTTACTCTAGTTTTTATTAACTTTTAGAGCTAGAGTAAGGCAACATAGCAAGTCCGGGATCAAATAACGGAATTTTTGCTCAAAAGGTCGAACGTGAGGAATCTCGCGGAATTATTCCACTTGTCAGTTTTAGAAAAGATTAATCTTAATCGGAGGAGAAACTCGGAAAGTTAGGCTCTGAGGATTAAAAACCATATGGAAGACAAAACTCATTTTAATAGGATAACTATGGTTTACCTTTTCAGCTCGCGAATAATGAGCAAATAGCTCAGGCATCTTTAAATTTTTTCTGTCTTATCCAAAAATTAAAAACAATTTTTATAAAAATAAAGAAATTTTATTTTTTAATATTATAAGTATTTAAGAAATAGAATTAAAAAGTATAGATAGAATGGTAATATTTTAATATTTCCCAGTCGAATCCGGATAGATATAAAGCTTCTAGAATGTTTCAGTTGGGGGATAACACCAATTAGAGCTGCTCGGAGTTAAGCCCTCTCTCCTTTTTGATAAACGAAGGAGGGATAAGGAAAAGACTTTCTCTAAAGCTGAAAAGAAAGGGCCTTTGATCTGTTTCAATCATTTAGAAGCTTTATATCAAAGGTGACATCCATAGATTCTATTGTTTTTTAGATTTTCTCATTTTCTTTCTTCTTCACTTTCAATTAATTACCGACCACCTTACTTTTCATGAGTATGTCCTGGACGGCCTCCTTCACCTGACGGTCCACTTCCAGGATTTTTTTCTTTGATCGAATCAACAAAAGGGACACTCAAAAGCATTAAATTAACAATTAAATAAATTAAAAAGACAATTAAAGATTTAATTGAATTAATAGCCATTTTTTGGTTGTGAGAATGGATTTTTTAAAATATTTTCAAAATTAATTTTTTTGTTGCTTTTTGAAGAGGGAGTTGGGTATTTAAATATAGCTAATTTTTAAAAATATGTTTATTCAGGTAAACAAGGAAATAAAAATTTAAAATTTTAGAAAAATTATATTATCAATGCAAAAAATTTTTAGTAAAATCTTCCAAAAATAATTCAGAATTTTTATATGTGCTTTCATCATAAAATAATTTTTGCAAATAAAAAAGTTAACTAAGCTAAAATTAAAATTAATTTCCAATTCTATTTTAAATCGGTGCAAAAATTCGTGCTGTAAATGGAAACAAAAATTATTGACGGTCGTTTATCCAGACCAAAACGGTACCAAAAACAGGGGTCGAACACCATATAACCGAAAACATGGGCCGATTGCTAAACGTTCTCGTTCTCCGACGGATCGAGAGCACTTCTAGCGACGAATCTTCCAGCGACGGATCTCCCGATTGAGCTTTCACCCCCTCTTTTCAATGATCTTAAACCTCTTCCTTAGTGTAAAATTCTTACAATTACCTCAACTTTTGTTATATTCAATTTTTTCTTAATTCCTTGAATTTAACTGTATTTATTTAAACCTCCCTCCCTCAAAATAAAAAAA